TTGTTTTTTGTGCCTTTTAAATAATTATCAAAATCTCAAGTCCAATAATTTTACAGATTTTAAAAACCCAAATAGCTTTTTTCCTAAAAAGCATAATCCAAATACCACCTACTTTTTAAATGCAAGCATCAATGACCAGTAGCCACATTGGAATCAGAATAAAAATGTACTGTTCTCCAGACATTAACTTAAATTTACTGAAAACAAGTACTGACCAAGTTAAACAAGCAATAGTAGTGGTTTGGGGGTACTGACTGATAGATGAGTTCTTTATTTGTTCTGTAGAGCTCAGGTCAGCATTTAAACAGTTTTGTTTCTCTTTTCTTCATTTTTAAGTGAAACCTTTTTCTCCCTCTGGCTCTCTTATCTATTGAGGTAACTGGTGTTGCATGAGAAATTACCTCATTTCAATGGCTGGAGCCAGTTTTTCTATCAGCTGTGGTAAGGTTTCCTCATTTATTTAATGAGCCTAGATAGTTAGGAAATTAAGTATTAGGAGCTGCAGATGAAGAAAACTAAAACAGAATTTTCTGTTTATTAGGGTGGTTAAAAAAAGAAAAGATCTGTATTAATATAGGCAGTACATATAATTGGTATTTGGATTATGGCATGATTATTACTTTGCAGACAGGGGACTCTGTTATCACTCAGTCATCAACGAAGTAGCTGCATTCTGTGCTCATCTCATCCCTGAAGCTGAAAGAAGAGCTAGTTATTATCTTCAAGTGGGGTTATTAATGAGGGGAAAAATCATCCCCAATTACTGTGAAGCAAAATATTTCAACATTTACATATCTGAGACTTTAATTTTCATCTAGTCCTTCATGAGTTCTTAAGCTCAGACTGTATTCACTTCTCCAAACGTTCCCACAGCGACATAGCAAGGGGAACGTGCACCTGCCCGAGTGCTGGCTGCCCCAGGTGAACACTTCACATGGAAATGCTGCTCCTTCCAGCCTTGTGCTGCCAGACACTGATTTCCACCGAGATTCCTTCGTGCTACACCGTAGGAATGGAGTCTCAAGCGTAGGCTTTGCTAGAGAAGTAAGAAATTCTGACCTGCCTATACTGTCTGTGTTCACAGAGCTTTTTTCCTTAACTAGAAACAGCCTGGGATTTATTTGAAAGAGCTAATTTCACTCTTTTGCTTTTTTTTTGAACAAGCTATTGATCCTTGTGAAATTAGTGGTTTGGAAGTTTTGACTCTAAATCTCCTAGAATAAATCCTGAGCAACACAAAGGTGATGATTTAAATTCAGTTAAAAATGTGGGCAGTAACCAGGAGATGGGAGGAGTGCTGTCCATACTGTGAAGCCATCCATCAACACAGATGCGAAGGTCTGACCTTGGCAGGTTCAGGAGGTAGGGACGTCAAACACAGTTTGCAGTCAATTGGAAATGTAGCTACTAGACAAAGAAAACTCAATAATTACACAGCTGTTTCAGTAGATTGCAGATTTCCTAGAAAACAATAAAACAGCCATCTGTGAATGAAAAAAGTAAAGCATCTTTTTTCTCCATTCAAAAACTTAATTCCTGAAAGTCATCAGATATGTCCTCTGTAAACTTCTTATCTCTCTTCAAAACCCCCAGAGTCTGTAACCAATCGGTGTACATTTCTCTGCGGCATTTATGCCCATTAATGCCTCGTTGATTTACAGTGAAACTGCTGAAGAAAGGACTGTCTTGGACAGCCATATAAATATTAAATTAATTTCTTGTGAAGGATGGCTGCTATTACACTAAATATTAAATGAATTCATAATACTTGGACATTTGCAATAAATCACTACTGGGACTGCATACTAACATCCCATTCCCAATCTTGTCTTTTTTTTTAATATGAAAGCCAGGGAAAAGGACTGATTGCTCTCAAAGAAATGTACAGCTTTGTAACAACACTGGAGTCATTAACGAATTCCCATGGCGCAAGGAGGAGTTTTAACTTAGTCCCATTTTACAGATGGGAGGAGGCATGAAGGGGTTTAAGTTGAACTGCTGATCACAGGAGGTTCAAACCCAGTCTGTGTCTCATGAGAGACATCACAGTAAATTATCAGCTCCTTACAGTCCTTGTTTTGCTTGAAGTGCTCTGAGCAGCATCGGCAGAGGATCTGGCAACGTGACACCAGAAGGCTGAGAGCATTTGCCAGACTCAGAGAGGAAAAGTGCTGGATGTGATGTCTAATCTCCAGGCACCCAAAGTGGTTTGTGTCAGTTCACCTCTGCATATCTTGCCCAAAGCCACGATGGGAAGAATGGGACTCGAGGTTTTGACTAGCAGGACTAGGCTTAGCAATTGAAGTAAGTCATCTCTCTTTAGAGAACACAGATCTTTTAGTCTCAAAAGTTTAGTAAAATGCTCAGTGGACTAAGAAGGGCTAAAAATCAATTCTTTATTTTTCCTTTCGTTAAAGTAGAGCAAAGGGTAGATCAGCAAGTTCATTATAGTTCTCTGTTATCTGAGGGGTAGTAGCTTGAGTGTAGAAATTTGTGCCAGGGCTAAGCATGTAGAGTGGAAGCCGTTCTTGTAAACAAAATGGAATGACTGTCAGACTCATCTGCTTTTTAATGTGCAGATGGGTGTGAATATATGCATCTCCTTCTTTCCAAAGATTTTTGCTTCTGTGCCTTAAATGGTCACACAAGGTTTTTCTAATGAAAATTTGCCAAGGTATTTAAATTATAAGCAAAAATTAGAAAAGCTGCTACCACATAGGAATATTAATTGTTCATTATACAGGGCTTTAGTTCACATAGTTACTTTGCATGTGCAGAGCTGCCAATTAAAGGGGCTCAAAGTGCTCACTGCTGCACAATAGCTGTTTCTCCAGAGCCCCACAATGGCTGTTGTATTCTGTCACTGACCTTTAGACACCTTCAAATGCATATTGACACAGTATGCTGGGATCATTAGAGCTATTGTTTCAGTGCGCCACAGGGAAAGGAGAGTTCTGCAATTTCGTGAAGAGCTTTAAAATTTGATATAATGGTGACAGCAGCGATATTTCTTAATTAGAGAGTGAGAGAAACACTGAAGTATTTTTCTGGTGCTGCAGGTGAATTCCGGCGTGCACACCTACCACAGTTCCCACAACGGTCGCTTCCCATTGGGGAAAGAAGCTGTTTATCAGGGGCATTTGGTCTGCTTTTCTATTGTTGCCAGGGGAATTTATTTAGTATGTTTGACCTGATGGTGCCATATGGCCAGCCTCCCTTAGCTTCCATGGATTCTGCCTGGATGAACATCTTGGCAGGATGGATCCTTTCATCCTGTAAGTGACAAATGCCCTTTTAAACTGAGCGTATACTTGGAACCGGTGGTATACAGGAGACTGGGATCTGGAATCATAGTTCAGACTCTACTCTTCAAAGATCAGTGGGTGTTGTCTCTGTGATAACAGCTATGCTTCATTTTAGCTCTTCCATGTCTTAACATCTAAGGTATTTCTGCTTTCTTACCAGTCTGTGACAGCTAAAGAGTGCAAACAAGAACTTTGGGAGCAGAGATATCAGATACTCCAAGTACATTTACTGTAGTAAATCCAAGCGTCTTCTAAAAGCTTATATTTATTTTATTGTAGCCCCCCTATTCTTTAAAGCTGCTTTGAGAAATTACTTAAGCAGTCAGCACATAAAAGAGCATCATTTTAAACCTTGCATGGGACGGTTTGTCTACAGAGAATAAATAAATTACTGGCTTGTATTTCCAAAGAGTGTTCCTGCTTAAAGACGGAGAGATAGTTTCTGTTCCATAAGTATTGCAGTTGCGGGGTTGGTTTTTATCCCTTGGGATCCTATTATAGAACAAATAATCAAATATAGCTAGACTTCACAGCCCTGAGTCTCTGAAGATAGTCTTGGGTAATGGCTTGCACTTCTGACAGAAGAGGAAGAAATCTAACAGGCCTTGTGCAAAACTTCTCGTGTCATTAAAAAAAATGGAAAATTTACTGCACAGCATTGCTGGTTGCAACCTAGCCCAGCGCTGTGCAGCACATACTGGAGGATGGCCAGTTTCTGCACACAATCCCTCTACCCAAAAAACTTTCTAGCTGAAGGACATAATATTTGATATTTGTGTGTGCTTGAGATCAATGTGCAGCAGGATTTCTCACACTGCTGTAAAACCCACAAGGTCAGATGCGTTTCTTCAGTAATGCAGGCTGAACTTTTCTTTTTTTTTTTTTTTTACATTAATTTAAAGGGTGCTGTTATCTCGTTTTCATCCCTCTGTATCAGAAACCCTTGTAGAACTTTGAAACCTCCCATGCACTGCCACTGCAATTGCCAGTTGTAAATTTTGTGGTCTATCTTCCAACATCAAGGTGATACCTTTATCTTAATGCATGAGGAGAAGCGACCCACTTCTGGGAGGGAGAGGCGAGTAGTATAGCTGTGTGATGTAGGATGTGAAGGGCAACACGCGCTGGAAAGAGCTGTTGAACCACTGTCTTGTGCCTCCGTTCTCCCCACAGTAAATCTGCATCAGGTAGTAAATGAGGCAGTAATGATGAGTGCTTCTCTCGCAATGGGCTGGGATCTGAAATCTCTCCTCAGACCCTTGTGCTTTGCAGCGGAGGTTTTTAGCCATACGGCCTGATTTCTTACTTTTGGGGAGTTTCTCTATTGCGGGACAGGATTCTCCTGGAAGAGAGAGGGCAGCACTGCGATTGGGAAGTTTGTACCTTTGCTGTCCCACTGTAACTGCACTCTTTCTTTCAAAAGGCACATGATCACTGCCTGGGTGGATTTGAAAATGGAGATAGTCTTTGCAGTATGTTAGGTCCTTACTCTGCTGAACGAGTTGAAGCCCTGTTGGATGGGGAGGGATTTTCATAGGAACTTCATTACCGAAAGCTCAGGTTCTACCTGGATCGACCTCTAGTCGTGGCAGTTTTGGGAGGTTTCCTGCCACACACACGGAGTTCTTCCTAAAGAAAAATGAAAGGCGTTGGTATGTCTGCTCACTGCCCATATTTCATGTGGTTCCTTTGCAGAAGGAGAAGAAGAGCGGGCTGCTGAAACTTCTAGCAGGAGCATCAACAAAAAAGAAGTCGCGCTCCCCACCGTCCGTGTCCCCCACACACGACCCCCAGGCAGCCATCGAAGGAGTCCTGCAAGGGGCGGTGGGACCCGAGCTCTCCTCACTCTCCAGCCACGGCAGGGCCGGCTCATGCCCTATCGAGAGTGAAATGCAGGGAGCCATGGGGCTGGAGCCTCTGCACAGGAAAACGGGCTCCTTGGATTTGAATTTTTCCATCCCTTCTCCTGCCAGGCAGCCCCTCTCTTCCATGGCAGCTATTCGGCCAGAGCCCAAGCCTTTGCCCCGGGAAAGGTAAGCTGTGCGTCTCCTGAGGTCGCCCGCATCCTCAGGGAGCATTTGGAGGAGGGCTGCAAGTTTCACTTGCTGAAGGGTTGTTGCAGTTTTGCTGCTCTGCCGATTGACTGTAGGTGGCTCGGCTGTCTTTTAGGAAGATGGCTTACGTGCATCTGCCCATTGAAAATCATTTGACACACAGTGCACATTTAATGGTTATTGATTAAAAAAGTGGTGAGCAGCGGCTGTCCATGACACCACACAGCCCTGGTCTAAATATGGAGGGCAGCAGTGCTTTCTGAGCCCAAAGGGTGTAAATGCTCTTGGCAAAGGCCACTTTTTAAGTGGGATCCCTGTGTTTTGATAAACTTCTGGAGTTGTCCTCTAGCGCTTCCTGCCTGGGGACAGCAGGGGTGATGCGTTTGCTCATCAAGGCCCTTTCTGGTCTGTTCTGCAATACCAGAGACTGTTTCAAATTCTCCTTGTTTAGGATACTTACAGGTAGCGCCATCTTCAGTGGCCTGTTACCAAAAATGTGGCTCATTTCTAGAGAGGAATGTACCAGTGAGTCTGGAGTTCATTTCAGCAGCCTGCTCTGCACCTTGGTACCTTAGAGTAACTGGCCTTGCAAACCCAAAAAGAGTAGAGTAGGAACACCAAAATACAAAGGCAGATGGAGAGAGAGAGAGAGATGACTAGAAACGGGTACAGAAAAGAGCTAGGTCTCCACCTGCAGAGTCATATTGGCTTCAGGTAAATATTTTCTACAAGACTGCAGTTTGAGGACTGGGAAGGGAATGGGTAATGCACCAATACGATGCTATTGAAATGCTTTCCATTCAAAAGTGATTGAGGCGAATGTGTTTTTTTACAAAAACATTAAAGAGTTTTCAAGAAGCAGTCTAGGAAACTCTCTGGAGTTGATATCTAAAACAATTTTGGAACAACAGTAAAGTTCCAGAAGTTTGAAAGAAACTTTTTTTGTTGGAGTCTATGAAAGAGGCTGAAGGGGATGGACTGGGAGAGCCACCTGACCCTGAATCTAGTTGGGATCATGGAGCAGATGATGCAGGGCACGATAAGGAATACTACAGGACAGTTCATACTTTACACAGTGTTTTACTGAATGCAGGTTGAAATTTGGTTGGGAAGGTAACAATGACACTGTAACATATTTAAACTTTTCTAAGGCATCTGGTTTGTGACCATAAAATGTCTTGCTGAGTAAATTGTACAGAACTGACACAGTAGATACTAAGTGGATTGAAGACTGATTCACTGGCATCAAATCTAACTCTAGATCAGAACTCACTAGAAAATGATTGTGTATGTACGTAGGGTAGCCCAACGAGAGTTGGGTCTTGGACCTGCACTGTCCAACATAAATATTTTGCTGTTACACAACAGAGGACTGAAGCGGGAGGTGGGTGATGAAGAGGGCAGACCCGTTGGTACAGAGCTAATTCAACGCATTGGTAAGGAGACCACAGAGTAACAGTATATTTCAGAAGAGCCAAATCTGAGGCAAAGTGGAGTGGCCTCAGAGAAGCATCATAAGAACAATGGAAGATTTAAAACAATATACTTGCAGTGAGTGATACAGGGAGCTCTGGTACACCTGGTAAAGAGCAGGCTTAGGAATGGCTTGGTAACAGTCTGTAAGAGACTGCAGACAGGACAGACATGGGAATATTTTTACTCTAGATTGGGCATTTTGTCTAAAAGAGATGCTGTTGTTCAAGCACAGCTATTAGACTTGAAGCAGAAATAAATGCAGGCAAGTCCTTCAGCATTGTAATGAAGGCAGTGAAAGCAGACTATCACAGTAGTCTCTTGTCCTTAAAATCCATGAAAAAGCAATTTAGTGAAAGGAGTGAGAAACCAATCCCTATTTAGGCACACTTAATTTGGTCTACATCAGTTTAGATTAATGCTATAAGAAAAGCTAAATCAATATAAACCAGATTTAGCACCAGTGTAACTAAATCAGTGGAATGCTGCACCTTTAGTTAAATGTAGCTGTGAAAAGAAGCCAAGAAGAACATCCCCTGACGTCTCCAGAGCTGGCTGTTAAGGTGCTGCTCTCAAAGCTTTACTGTAGAGAAGTCCAGACACATTATTTGACATGCCAGGGCTAGTCCCAAATCCTACAAATTTCTTAGTTCACCTCTCAATGGTCTGGATAGTGAAACATTTAACTGATGACAATTTTAAGTGGCAGAATAGAACCAGAGGGAGATGGGTTAACTGCATCTGCTCAGCCATGCTGGAATTAGGGGTAAATAGATTTAGACTGCTAAAACTGAGTAAATGCTTCCAATTGCAGTATATGGTGGTGAGGAACTTACTCTGGTTTTAAGCATTTTAATTCCTGAGTCTTAAATCCGAAAATAAGCTATAATTGAAGTAACCCTAATTATACACAGCAGGCAAGATTCTCTAATTGATTTATGAATTAACTTCCATATCATTGGTGTATCTGCATTCCTTAACTGATCATATGGGTTTTCTCATGCCCATAATGGGAAATATTAATTACCTTCATGCACTAGGAAGGATAATGCTTAGTCCTGGAATAATCTGAGCAGATACATTAAACACTTGTCTCCAAGAAATTCATCCCACATCCATCTGTGCTCATTAAATCATCAAATTGCTCAGAAGTACCAAATTATATTTTTTTTAAAACAAATTATGGTTTTCAAACCACTTGTTCTTTTCACATCTGGCAATGGAGGAACTCGCATTCAATGTCACTCAGCTCCATATTTTGCTTGTTTGCATTTTGGTGCATTTCATCCGCACAGTAGGAGCAATTCTCTGAGAAAGAAAAGGGAGGAGAGGGAAAAAAAGGTTAGATAAACAGATTCAGATGCTGGATGAAATTTTAAAAAGCTGCAAAGCATTTCAGTGCACTTAGCTGTACTTGGCTTTCTGTCTCCCAACGCCCATCTGTGCGCATAGAGACAGAGCACTGAAAGGTTGGAAGAAGTAGCACATTCCTTAATATTTACAGCATTCGAAGAGAGGCTCATGCAGCAGCAGAGCACCGCTACTTCTCCCATAGAGGCTGGCTTGCAGCTCCGGCACTCGCCACATCCAGGCTACTGCTCAAACCCAAGCGGTCATGCCGCTAGCCATATGGAGGTGCATTAAAAGGCTGTGATTGCTCGCGGCTCAATGCTCACGATTTAAGGGAAGAATTGCCTGTTCCTCCGCCTGACAGCGCAGCCCTTCGTGGGAGTCGCAGCCAGCCAGAGAGGAAGGTGAAGAGAGCTTCGACCTCTCGGAGATGCTGCTAATGTTTATGCTCTCGTTCATTTTTTGTGCACGGGGAGAGCGAGGAAAACAATTATTTGACCTTGTCCTACTTGATATTCCAAAGCCTGGTTATGGATGGCTGGATTAGAAAGGACATTGCTCCTAGCTCTCCTGTCGTTTAGCCTTGATATTTAACTGGTTTGCTGGGATAGTTAGTGCCCATCTCTGCCTTCTGGGTGTAGTTTCCCACTATCAGTTTATAAAACCACCTTCCTTCGGCTGCTCCCTGCCATAAAGCATCCAGCAGTCCGAGCAGCAGAGCGGAGAAATTTCCCAGGTGGTGTCCTTGTCACTTTGCTTTGCAGTGATTGACTGTCAGGCGAATACCCCACCAGGCTGCGTGTGCCCCACACGCTCTTTTCCACCTACCGCTCCATCCAGTTTCCACTGGTGCAACAAACAGGACCAGTACAGGGATGCGCTGGGGTGAGGCAGAGCCTGGGCCAGAGACTTGCCCGCATCCCGCCGACGCTGTCGGTTTACGTGGGAGAGGGATGTGCTGTCTGCCTAGCAGCGCCAAAGGAACATACTTTCCTCGCCACCCCCTTCAAGAAAATATGACTGTACGTTAAGGAAAACAGGGGAGTTGAGTGTGCGTGTGTGTGCGCGCGTGAGTCATGTTCCCCTCACTGCCTGGCACTGTTCCCAGATGCAAACCTGAGTAAAACATGTCACGCGTTGTTGACTCTTTCATAGTAACTGGCACTAATTCTGCCATGTTATATTCTGACAAAGCGGTTGTATCCAGACTTACTGTCACGACTGGCGTATCTGTGCCATGTTTCTACGGGGTTTGTGGAGCCTTCAAGCAAGTTGTAACCACAACAGTGCTGCAGAATAAGATGGGAGCAGTGAGTTTGACCTTTAAAATAGACCCCTCCATGTTTCCCTGTATCTTTTCTACAAATCACTGCCACGTCAGAAATTGAGCTCCCAATTCAAGGAAGCATTCAAGCATGTGCTTAACGCCCATTGACTTCAATTTTGCTGTGCACGTATATCTTCTTTGCCAAAAGGGAAAGCAAAGGAAGGGGTTTTTTCTTTCCTGGAAAGTGATACTAGAGGAATGACCCCAGGAGTAAGTTCTGACTGAACAATGACACGTATGCGCATGGTTAAATGCTTCTCTGACTGGGGATTCCTGCCTTGGGACTGAGAAACTAGAATTAACCATCTCAGAAATTGAATCCAGCAATATTTCCAGCAGAAGGGTAAAAGATCCAACTGAGATTTGTTCTTCTAAGGCTGCTGATTCAGAGGCCATAATATTGGTGAAGCGGGTTCTGGCTTGTAGCATGCAGAGGTGCTTTGCAGGTCTCTGCAACCTGCCAGTAAAAGGATGGAGCATCAGAGCTCCACCGATAAGCAAGAGCAGTGGTTAACTGGGCTAAATGCTTCATTGTCACCAATTATCTATGCCAACACAAAACTACCTGTGTGTCCCTAACACACAAGGGCTCTGTTGGCCTCACAGGACTGGTCTCGTGAAACCTGTCCTGAGTGCATGATACTTTGACAAACAGAAACCTGCATTAAGCATCCAAACTCAAGCACTAAATGGGACCGGATTGGAGGTTAGCCCTGCAGACCTAATTTGCCTCATTGTACATCTGTTTTCTTAAATTTCTTTAGCTCTGTCAGTGTCCTGGATGCACATATTTACTCAGTGAGCAGGCTCACTGTTTACTCAGTATTTG